CTGAAAAGCCGGTATCGCTGCATCCCTTTGGACAATTTCACTTGTATAAAAATGGAGGAGTGCAAAAGAGTCTGCTGACTCCAGTTTATCATTGGGGAACAGTACAAATCTATTGTGCCTGACCATTGCTGTTTTTTTAATAAACTATTTTATTTATAACACATCTGAGAAAATACACAATATAAGCATTATGAATTACGAAGTATGAATTTATAAAAACAAAATGTAAACAACCTGAAACAAATGGCTCATAAAATAACTTTAATACGTAAACTAATGCAAGCAGGACTTTTGCATGTATATTCAAAAAGGAATAGGAGAAACAAGGAAAACAGGCAACCCCAATTGTGCCTCCAAAGCAATCTAAAGGTCACTCAATGTGGAAGATGAAATATGATGTGATATTGTTCCCATTTAATTCTAACTATGACAGGTTGCAGTATGTACATTAGTAATTTTGTTTGAGTTCAAATTATTTTAAAGTCATCATGCACAATATACCACAACTATGCCTAAATTTGCTAGGTCCATGTCCTGTTTATACCATTAGACTGTGGTTTATGTAACGGTTTATGCTGTAGTGAATACCATACCATTTTAATCAGTTAAGTACTTTGGCGACATTCACAGAAGGTCAAGAGCACTTTGAAGACCTTAAGGCTTTCTGAGAATGCTGTGCTTGGAAAGGTGAATACTGTGCCTGCCAGCCACACAGTATGTATATGACTTCTTGCATGCAATATTTATAGGTCTCTACAGTAATTTGCATTTCATATTATAGATCTATACTTAGTAACTTTCTCTAAAAGAGTCATCAATTAAAGTTTTATTTATTAGGCATGAATACTTAACCCTAACCCCCATGACATCTGGCTATTTGCCTAATGCATCTTGGAGTAGTTCCCTTTTACTTCATTCATGAACTGGCAGAAAATGTATTAAGGGTTAATTAACATAATGCAGGCAGTGTAGTTTTTTTTAGTCGCCAATATAATCTATATGCAAGTAAACCATAATGTTATGCTTACAGTATACCTTTTTGTAAACTTAGCTTGTAAATGGGTGTCAACCACAGTATGGCAGTTCCTACCACCATTTACATTACATGCTTACTGTTCAAACACAGTATTTCAAATTTTTGTTAAAAGCAATTATTTAGTAAAACATTGTAGGTAGCTTTAGTTATTACATTGCTGTAAATCTCTGATTTACAATATCAATTTCCAAATGAGAATTTTCAACAACCTCAGTTTAACTACATACTTTGTCTAGAAACCATAGTAGGGCTTTGAAGAGTAATTGCACTAAACTAGGGCTCAGTCTTGAGCAGCAGAAGCTTGACTTTTACAAGAAAATGTAAGATTTGTATATAACATAGGCTGCCTATATCTCTTAGCTGTATACTGATTATTTTGATGTGTGGTTTTCATTGAAGGTAACCTTTGCATTTAGAGAGCATGTAAAGAAAAATATTTCACATTGCATCTTGTAGAGACTATAAAGGTAACAAATGACTTTTCTTTAGGTTTAAACCAAGGAGAAAATAGATTGATGAATCTTATAGTTTTGGCACAGCGTTTTTGACCATTTGCAGTCCAATAAAGCAATGCATTAAAATGTAATAAATTGACTGAATCAGCTTATTCAAATATCTTCTGAAACTGCATGTGAAGTCAAGGACATATAAAATATGTTTTGTCAGCCTGAACAATGAGGACTTACTTATACCTTGCAAAATCAGAGCTTGGAGAGTGAATGATGAACAGGCAATGTATTCACTTCAAACAGGCTTATTTTTATAGAAATTTTGTTTGAAAAGCCTAATGAATAAAGTAAAAGTGCAGCATTGATATACACCATTATTTTAAAACAGAAACGAGTATTAATATGGACCAATATTGTGTAGGATGTTTTATTAAGCATGGGGACTCATCTAGATGCATGAGCATGTCTGTATATGATCTCATTTTCCAGTATTTACACTAATTTTTGCAGCAGTTTTATACATAAATTATTGATTTACTAGTACAAAGAAGCAATTTATGTAATATTTACTGAGTCCTGGATTTGCCATAAAGGAAACTGTAATTCAGATTCTCTGCAAATGGTGAAAAAAAATAAACTTGATCCAATGAACATTCTGGTAAATCCATGGAATTATCTTTATAAATGTGGCAAATGGTCCATTGATTATCTAGTAGCATTATAGTGCCAAATAATTGATATACAGTACCTCTATGTCTTATTTGTGTCTTAAATTATATAAAATTAAAGATATAGGCCACTGCATATGTAGTTAGATCTCACAAATGGGGTGATGCACAACATGGAGAGAAGAAGGTTCATTGTTCCTGGTATTCACATTTACTGTGCTGATTTTTCTGCACATTCTTATTGCTGTTTGTGTTTCTGTTGGAGAGATTGCCTTCATTTTCTGTCCTGGTTAACAACAGTAAGACATTGAGAAATGTGCAGAGATGTGCTCCATTATTTTATTTTTTCCCATAACGTGCTTCAACAATTAACCTAATTCCCTAACCCTCTCCCAAACCAAACCTCTGACCATATGCATTGCCCTTAAACACCTTACTATGCCTTTATTAACCCCAAAAACTAATTTACTCCAACTGGTTGATATGAAAGTAATTTACAACCCCATTTTGAGAGAAATGGAACACTGGTGAAGACCAGAAGGTCTTTTAAGTTTGAAATGAAGGTTCTTCTATAATAAGGGGGAAGGTAAGAAAGTAAAAGGAGTGGGTGGAAAAGAGGTAAAGAAACATTTAATGAACCCATTAACCTTTTCACTGCCACTGATATAAGGATTATGCTGGAAGGCTTACCAGAAGGACTCAGCTTAGTTGGGCGTGTACACGTACAAAATGACAATTTTCACACACATATTAGGTATTACTGTGCATGCTGAAATGCAAACAATAATTCTAGGGTCATCATTCACTGGTAATTCTAAATTGAGAACCTTAAAAGGACACGAAAGGTTTCCCTGCATCAAATGTGTGTGCAATCTTATAACTTGACATATTTGGTATCTGTTTATGTGACTCAATCTCGTATTTTATATATTTTATTGATAAACAGTAGTGCTAATATCATGAGGCAGAAACATTTTCAACTGCCACAATTTTATCCTTCAGGGTCTCTGCTTTCAAAAATATATAATGTTTTGACCTAAAATGTACATTTTAACATGTGTGCAAAATATGAAAAAAATGGCTTCGGCAGCAATGGGTTAAAGAAAAACTATAACAGGTTTGGATCAATTTTATTTGAAGTTTTTAATCTGATGTATGCATTCTATTTCTGTACTATTGACATAAACAGGGTTATTCACAAAAGGGTGAAGAGATTGGAGAAGGCAGGAGAAGTGAACAAGCTAGGACAACATAGCTGACCTGGAAAATAAGCTAAATTGGAGAATTTTTCCAAATTGGCTATTTTGGCCTAGATTGTTCACTTTTCCTGCCTTCTCCAAACTCTTCACCCTTTTGTGAATAGCCTGGTAATCTTTGTTCTACAAATAAACATCTAATACAGGAAACACCCATGAACGGTTTTGTATTATATTTGTATTTTTTGTTTCCATACCTAGTACAGCTAAAACTGTTCACCTTCGGACATCTGCTCTCTGATTAAAACTTTGTGCAGAGTCATCTTAAAGACGGAATTTAGTAATTTCTCTAACTCACTGAGTTGTGTGTATAAATTTAATCCACTTAGATATTGGAATATATCTATTTTCCTCCCAGTCATTAACACCTGGACAACATTGTCCAAAATTTTAGCAGTGCTGCCCCACTCATTTGGTGTATCATAATAATAAATGGATTTGCAAAACTCTTCAAATGTCCCTATCCAACTGTTCTTCCAAATGCTATTTAAGCGAGCCCTTTAAAAATGATGTAGTATATTGGTGAAGTATGCTAATATAAACCACTCTCAAAATATGCAATCTCATTACCTTGCAGTGCTATATTTATCATTTCTATATCTCATAATTTCAAGTTCATATTTGGCAGTCATGAATAATGCTCTCGAAGTTCAACAGTACATTTTACTTTACAAATTAACAACATCCAAGTAATGTAGCAGTATAGACATGAACATCATGTCCCCAAAAATGAATGGTCCTCTATATTAAACTTCTTGTACTTATTCATCTGGATGGGACACCCAAAAAAACGGTCTTGGGAAAGTATTGCCAAAAATTGTATTAATGTCTTTATTGCTACAGTGTTTGAATGTCAAATATAATACTTAGGTAAACTTGAAGGGAAACATTTGTAAAAGAAATTTACCTTGCATCACCAAAAGGGGCTATATAATTCTTCTTGTCAAGGTTTGTAAACTTAACACCTTACATGTGTTCTGGCCTGACTTTTCCATGCTATTCCGTGCCTATTTTTGTCTATTAAAGCCTCATTGAACCCTAAGGTAAAGCAGCCACAGCTTGAGTGGAAAAGTTTGTCCTCTGCTAGTAGGATCAGAGTAGGGCCCTTGCTCTGCATGAGGATGCAACAGTCTTATTGCAGGGGGTCAGATATATCTAAGTCAGATCTATAGCTTTTCAGTCAGCAAAGCTTATGCTCCCTGTTGATTGGAGAACTCTGACTGCCACCCAACAGTAGGTGTGTCGGAAACTCTGCAAAGCCACTGCTTCCCTACATGCTGGCAGGACACAAGCTTTTCTACTTTGGCTGTGGTTGATTTTTAAAGAACAAATTGTAAGACACCTTTGTACACCTTTTTGTTTTTGATGCATCTAGCTGTTTTAAACTGAAAGGTCAATTGAGTTTTAAACAAACATTTTTTTAGCTAAGTGCAGAAAATGAAAATAGAAACCAGTTTGATAAGGTTTGTATATTTAGCTGCTTACCTGTCAAATATTTTCTCTAAAATGCTTACTACTTTAAATAGTTTTATGCATTTTTTCTTTCATCACTAAATGTGCCCTTGTGAAAGGTAATCTATATTTCTCATAGGACAGTGTTATTCAGCCTGACCTCTGTGGTTGTTCTTGTCATCACTACTGACTGGATAAGCTGGGACAAGCTGAATCGTGGATTTCTACCCAGTGATGAGGTCTCAAGAGCTTTTATGGCATCCTTTATCTTGGTTTTTGACCTTCTCATTGTTATGCAGGTATGTTTATCCAGATGCTTTATTGTGCCTGTGTTCAAGATATATAAATAACCAATTACACCCACTAACATTCTATATACTAATAGTGGACATTTTGTTTTATTTATTCTTTAAATACAAGCTGTAGTGCTCCATTAAACAAAAATAGGTATGTTAAAGCTGTTTTACACAGTGATATCCCTCATCTGTAACGGGCTGGCCTGCCTGGATCACAATATATATTCTGTGGCTGAAGGAGGTTCCTATCTGGCGCTATCTGGTTCCTATATGGTTTGGCTTTTTGCAGAATTATCCTGCTTTAAAGGAAGCTTGTCTTGGAGGAAATATGTGGGCTGCCATTGTAGGCCCTTCCTGAAAATAATAGTTGTCTCGTTGCCAAACTGATTCACTGCTTTTGGTAATAAAAAATGCCGTTCAGGCGTTAATGCTTTGCTGACAGCATTCTTATTCGGAGTCAGTGACATCATAAATATTCATGGAGGTCAACAATGGTAGCCGACATGTCTCTCAGTACCGCCTCTCTTTAAGCTCTCTTTAAATCCTATTTTGATATATTCGATAAGGAATTCTCATTGTAGAGTGCAGTAACCAATAGAAACCAATCAGAATCCATCTTGTACTGCTAAGACTTTAGCCGAGTCAATAAGGCCCTACATCTATTATGTGAATCTGCCTCGTCTGATCTATGGAATAGATGGTCATAGTCTTTGAGGGTTATGTCTTTATTAAGACACTTAAGATTTGCAAGAGGTGCTATCCAGTACTGATATCACCAGACAAAATTTAGAAGATGCTATTCAAGAAACACACATTGTCATTTCATCATTTGATCTACGCGTTTTGTCCCTATGCGCTGTACTCTTCGTTGGCACGTTGGTCTGGGTAGTCATATGTTTCTAAAGAATTACCATCTCTTGCCTGATCACATTTTGGATGTGTATGCACTATATAAAAGCATAACATTGTAAAATATAACACTCAATTTGAGTTGAATCTGCAGTTTTCAAATATATTTTCCTATGGCGTATATGTAAATAGTAGGAAATGTTGAAGACCACTGGGTTTTAGCACATTTTACAGTAAATGTCGGTGCTAAGTTTAGAACCAGACAAGTAATGGCTTGCAGGCATGGATGGAATGAACTTTGGGTTAAATACTGTACACTGTGAAAAATATCACTTGGGGGATTTCCAGACAGAGCAGCAGAGAAGATTTGGAAGGCTGAATATTACATTTGCATGTCTTCTCGGCTGTCTCATAGCTCCAGTGGGGCAAGCTGATTTACACTGTCATGCTACACTGTTCCTTCATTTATGCTGGTGAATTCTTTAAATGCTGTGTGGGGAAGTCATTTTTCCTAACGAACATTAGCCATGCTTTAATAGATATGTTTGTACAATTAAAAATATTGAAATTCATGATAAGTATCTTACCAATGATATAAAAAGTGTATTAGCAAAAGGCAACAAGTAAAACATTTCCTAAATTGCAGGAATACTTCTTTTTGTATCTCACGTTTATCTTCTGATCTATTTTTATGTTTCTGTATTTGCAAAATTATAAATGCATTTCTGCTACATTAAATATTGTTTTTTGTTTAATTATCATTGTCCCAGTGGTATTTTTCATGAAATGTATCAGCAACACACAGAAAAATGTTTAATAAAGCGGAATGTGCAAGGAATACAAATGTGTGTATTACTGAAATAAAGCCTTTCCTGAGAGAGACATACAGGTTGCTATTGCTACTTCTCATTCTACAAATGCTAGTTTCTTAGTTGTCATGTATACCTTTTGGTTCAACATACCTCCCAACTTTCTGAGATGAGAAAGAGGGACACCTTCCAGAACAATGTATTTAGACAATGGACACACTCCTACCCCTGTTAGGCAATCCATTAAGAATGTCATGCCAAAATTATTGGTTAAACCCAGAATTGTTTTTTTTTTCACCATTACGTTTCCTTTATACTGGTTTTTCAAAATAGCAAATAAAATAAGAGATACAATAAAGGTTTTAGTGCAGAATAACACCTTTGGTAGTTAAATAGAATAACACCTTTGGTAGTTAAATAGAACCGTTATTTGTAGATATCTGTACATCAGACCAAAATTGGGGACAACTAAGGAGGAAAGGGGGACAGGAAGATTTGGTCCAAATAAGGGACCTTCCCTCCAAATCAGGCACAGTTGGGAGGAATGGTTCAATAACTTGTGTACCTTACCTGGAACATGAATTAAAATACAAACTTCTGGTTTTCCTGATTTTACACATCAGAAGGGAATAGGTAATGTCATCCCCCATGTGCATTTCAGCAAAGCTGTTTGCAGAGATCTTGGGAAAGCACTAATATACCGTAAGCCTGAAAAATGTGTTTCTAGAATATAAATCCACTGATTTAAATTACATGTATGCACTCCAGCAGTGGCTACATGCAATTTATCAGGGCAGGTTCCCCAATGGTGACAACTACAGAAATGCCTGTGCAATATGAAACCATGGCCACTTATAGTCTTTGCTGGAAGTGCAGGTGACATGTTGACAGTGCAGAAGAGCAGTTGGGAAACAGGGACAGAGAGAGGTCACCTTATAACAGAAAATGCCTTCACGTGGACCCTAATGGCCGGATTACCAGGTTGTTTTTTTCTAATGAAAGCTTAAGATTTACAGAGATTGAACTTTTTAGCTTACATTAACATGTCAAAGAATATATATTAGACTCTAGAGATTGGGTTTACAAAGATTGGGTTCACATTTACTTTAACAATAGAGTTAAGTATTAAGTATACACAGTTTTGCTTTAAAACACAGCATAAGTATAGATTTCACACTTCAGTCCTATATTATGAACATATTAATCTTGTCCTAATAAATGTATATTTAACTTTTAACTGAATGCTTTTTTAAGATTAGAATTCCTATATTCCTAATTCCTATACCGGGCAATATGTATTCTTGTCTTGTTTATGGGAGAAGGAGGCTAGAGTAATGAGGAAATACAGTGGGTGGAAAGGAGTGGAGGGTCTGGCAAAAGAAATTCCATTAGAAATTTGAGGTTCTTCTTGGGATACACACTCACTGAATTAAAGATAAAATCTCTGTTTTGTGGAATTATGTACCTGTATAATTAGATAAGTGTGTACTATGCAGTACTTCCCTTGTGGTTTTCTAACACTGAATTGCTTTTAAGATAAAGCTTCTGTACCGTAATGGTTTTTAGAAGAAATGAGCAAATCAATCCTAAAACAAGCTTATTTGTAGCTGGTGCAAATCCACACATGAAACCTGATCTGTTAGATGCAGCCTTGCTTTCCCATCTTAAATATAGCGATTTGTTATCCCGTGTATATGTGGACACCCTACCATGTGTATACAAGCCCATATAACCTTTAGTACTGATTTCTTTGAAGCACAATTAACAGATGTTAAAAATAAAACCCAGGGACACCCCACAGCCCATGCCAACTTTAAAAACGCCCAAAAACAATGCCGTATTGCTGTATAATGCTGGGATTTGTAGTCCCCCTACAGCCGGTGCCATTCTGCATTAGAGTGTAAGCAGTGTTAATTTAGTCGATTAAAACGTTTTGTCATGGTTAAGTTAATAGGACTAAAACTAAAAATACATTGCAATTTTCTCTACTGGAGATTTAGTTGACAAAACTAAACTAAAAGAATTCAGATGACTAAAATACACATTTTAGTTTTAGCCATATTTTAGTCCTCGGAATTCTTTTAGTTTTAGTTTAGCTTTGTCAAGTAAATCTCTGGTAGGGAAAATTGGAAGTTTTAGTCCCAATAACTTAGTTTTTATTTAGTTTTTATCAGTGAAAACGTGCAGATGACGAAAACTTTGACAAAACTTTTTAGTTGACTAAATTAACACTGAGGGTAAGCTCCTCTGTACCGAAACGAATGTGACTTGCTCAGTGTTATCTATACAGCCCTGTGATATATATCAGAACTATATAAATGTATAATAATAGTGTGAGACTGTGGGGGGACCACAAGTACCAGCATGCCATTAGCAGGGGGGCTGGGGGGGGGGGGGGGGGGGGGCTAGCCATGTAGGCTGTATGTGGCCCCATGATTTATAATGGTGTCCCTGTATGTCAGTGTACTGGTGTTTATAAAGAGCAGTGCAGACGTAATATCCGTGTACTGGTTTGTACTGGTTAGTCTGCCTGTGCTTCAATCATTTTGCCTTCTGCAGTGGAATGTAACTTCCCAGATAGCAAGTAATTGAGCTGCAAGTTTGAAAATGACTTGCTAAACTATTGCAGACTTGCCCAGCTTCACAATTGTGTTGCACAATTACAGCAAGTCTGCATTGCAAGTCTCCAGACCAGCGAGCTTGCAGAGCTCTTGCTAAGACCTGCAGGACTTTTGCTGTAGACTTGCCAAGCAAATTTGCTACAAATTAAAAAAGTGTCAACTAGAACTTGTGCTGCAAGTGCTCTGCAAGTCTACAACTTGCCAGGAATGTGTGCAGCAAGTTAACAAGAATTACAATTTAACCCTGCCACAAACCAGTTTATACAATAAGATAAAGAGACAGTTTTGTATCTTTAATTTGTGCAGTGCACATGGACCCCAAGGCTCAGGGGGCCCAGCACTCATTGCGTACATTGGAGATTGGAAGTGCTCCTCTGCCATCCTTTGCATGCTGTGTTCAGAAAACACCCCATGTAAAAGCATAGTGTTATAACACTTTGCAACCATTCAAAACTAAAATCTGATTGATTTCCTTAAGCTGGCTATACACTGTACGAATTTCGTCCGGCTTCGTTCAATCTAAAAATTGAAGGAGCTTGATGGAAAATCTTCAGACGAACAGTGAAAAAAGCCAATCAGCATGGAGTGTCCATCCACGCTGTTTAGCCTGCAGGCTGAACAAAAAAAAATAACAGATCAGATTTACATTACTGCCCTTTGCAAATCACTATTAATAATAGTGCACTATTTTACTGCACAAAGAAGAGAAGGCAATATTCTAATCTCCAATTTCTGCAAAGTTCTAGGACAATTAAGGAAAAATGATTCTGTGCTGATATAATTCATATGCAAATAAACTAATAGGATTATCAAATAAGGCAAACAGCAATTAGCAAATACAGTAGCTCACAACAATACACCCCAACAGTCAGGGTGGAGCGCTGTCATATCGGATGGCCAGCGCCCAGCGGTGAGGGGGAGAGAAGCCGCCCCCAGGACGAGCTGTGTCGGCCGCACAGCGCCCTTGTTGCCATGGCGCCCTGTGCGGCCGCACTGCTCGCACACCCCTAAGGCCGGCCCTGCCAACAGTCATATGCAAATAATTTAACAGGATTGCCAAATAAGGCAAACTGCAATTAGCACGGTACATTGGTCCACAACAATAATAATAACAACCCTCCAGCATTAGTGTTCAGTGTTTACTCTTCTGAACAGACACTCACACACCAAGCTTTCTCCCCCAGTCACTCTAGGACTATAGTTCAACTGTCGGACAAAGATCACTCTGCCTGACAGTTTTGGCTTCTTTCAGTGGCAGGTGCTGGAATGCAGAAAGCATTCCAGCACCCACCAAAACACACAGGGGCACCCTCTAAGTCAGGGGTTGGCAACCCTGCTGATGTGGGGATCTACCCGAACAACATGGAAGTGATCAAAGATCAGCAGGGTACAATAAGCTTTTTTTAAGGAGATGGCCTTGCTAGGTTATTAGAAAGTAATGAAAGTTTGAACAAAATGTATAAACATTTAATACAAATGTCACTGTAAAAATGTAAACGCATGCTACCTTTATAGCTTCGCTGAGAAACTTGCCATTCACTTTCATTCACATTGCAGGGGTAAAGAGTAAGTCATACATAGGTCAGGAGTAAGTAATGCAGAGTTCAGAGGTCAGTAGTATGTCATTCAGAGTTCATGGGTCTTTAGTAATTTGTCATGCAGAGTTCAAAAGTCAGTAATGAGTAACACAGAGTGCAGGACTTAGTAGTAAGCAATACAGAGTGCAGGGGTAAAGAGTAAGTACCACAGAGTTCAGAGGTCAATGCCCAGCTCAGTGGGGGCTGTCCTTCTCCAATACACTGCAATCAATCAAATAATTGTATTTCTCTTTGGCTTCAAAAAACATAATTGCCAGTTGCAAACTAAAGCTGTGCTATACAGTATATCTGTTCAGTCAAAAAATGTTTGCAGCTTTGCTGTATATATGTTCAATCAAAGAATTCCACATTTCAAAATGTCCAAAGAAATAACTGCTTAATCAAAGAAAGCTGCACCTTTTCTGTACATCTGTTCAATCAATGAAAGTTGTTGTATATCTGTTCAATCAAAGAAAGCTGTACCTTTGTTGTATATGTATTCAATCAAAGAAAGCCACGCTTCAAAATGTCCTAAAACATGACTGCTTAATCAAAGAAAGCTTCACCTTTGCTGTATATCTGTTCCGTCAAAGAAAGTTGCTGTATATCTGCTCAATCAAAGAAAGCTGTGGCAATATGAATTCAAGGTGATCAATCAAAGTCACTTTCATTATGTTTTTTTCTCTTCAGCTCCAAAAAAACATTATTGACACTTGCACAGATGTACAGCAAACTGAAGCAGTGCTTCTGTTTGCTGTATATCTGTTATGTATCAATGACGATTTTTTGGAGCTGAACAGAAAAAACATAACAGAGGTACGACTTCCTTTGAATGCTGTGCATTCACTGCCACTGGGCAAATTGCCAAGACTGTTTGTTGGCCTCAGTGGCTCAGTGGATGTCTGCACAAACCATGGGACCACTAACTGCCTCAGTCCCAGTCCCAGTCACTTCCACATTCTGTTCACATCAACAATGAAGTGATGTAACAAATGACATATCTGTAAATTTACCCTGGGACAGAGAGGTTACAGCTCTGTTCAGCCCCTCCATGCAGTAACACATCCCTGCTATAGTGATCCATTGTTGGCTTGAGTGCAGGCAGCAACAGATCACTGTTATAGGTAATCTGCTGCTGCACAGCTGCATGGAGGGTCTGGATCAGGTCTCCTGCTTATAATTTGTGAAAATCTTTTTTTTCCCTGTGTACATTGCAGTATAGTGTTGAAAGAGGAATAAGGCTTATCTAAAGTAAAATGCATTAGTTCACTTTGAGTTTTACCATTCTGGTATGTTACATAAAAGTTGCACTAATTTGATATCATTTTTATCAGTGGACTATGTTAATTATATTTTAAAGTAATTATATGGGGGTGCATGAATATTGTAAATGCTGTGAAATATTACAGTAAAATGCATAAAAAAAGAAAACAAATGCAGTTACTACATTTAAGTATTGGTAAACTGCAATGTATTACTTTTTTGTTTTAGATATGTTTTAAGAACATATCTAAAGAATATGTATTTAATTGCTGTTTGACTATGGGGCAGGATCCAGATGGATCAATTCACAGGAGACAAATCACCAGAACCGATTCTTAATCTTAAACACTTTAGCTTCTAGGTTTTTCTTTCCTGTAACAGGCTGAAATATAATTTAAATTGAGCTTACCTAGAATGTTAAGGATGTTAGAAAGGAAACACATTGGCTTCAGTTGTGCCTATTCTGTACCTAAAGGAGAACTATGGGGTCAGGGCTTTTCCCCATAGCTCTCCTCAGGGTCACGGGAGAACACAAACTAGCGTTCTCCCGTGACCCAAAGCTCAGTATACCCCAAGCTGCAGCTCGCGGTATACTGAGCAGCCGCAGCCGGAACAGATCCCGACATTGCTGTCGAGATCCGCCAAGCTGCGAGATTGACAGCTGGCTCTGCCTATCTAGAGGCAGAGCCAGCTGTGCAGGCCCCTCCCCCGTCCGTTCCGGCCAGTCAGCGCTGGAGGATCGGACAGGGGAGGGGGGAATCCCTGCACGGAGCCGTGAGTGACAGTCACGGCTCTCTGCAGGGATAGATCGAGAAGAGAGCGAGCGACGGTATGTGTTCGCTCACTTCCCGATCTACTGAGCTGACCTGTGACAGTTTCATTGTCACAGGTCGGCTCAGATTATGAGGCTGAGTGAAAATCACTCGCCTCCTAATTCTCCTTTGATTGACTTTACATGAGAAAGCAAACAGGAACCTTCATACAGGTGCTTTATGTTAGCTTTATCCAATGATATTCCTGTTTCCTATTCCATATGGAGCTGTTGACATTAGGGATTAATTTATTAAAGGAAAATAGGAGGATCACTTACCAAGGGAATTTTCCCTTTTAGCTTAGCGAATAGGTGTAGCTCTGCTAACTTCCATCATCCAATCATGTGCAAGCAATAATATATATTTGTATTGTCCTCGCACATGATTGAGTATTTTTACATCATTCACTAAGCTAAGGTAAAATTCCCTTGCAAAGTGAACAGCTTATTTGACTTTAGTAAATCATCTCTTAAATATCTTGTTTTTCATAAGTTGTTTTTCTTTGTTTGTTCTGTTAACTTATTCTTAATCATGCTTAGATCCATGGGCAAGTCATATAAAAGCAATGGTTGCATACATTTTATATTGATCATAAATGAATAGGGAAATTATAAGACAATCTTACTTCATTCCTGTCAGCGCATTTACTGACTAATTCATGTAGTTCCCGTTACGCAATCCATTTTGATTCTTTTTAGGAAGACTGGCAGTTAATTGATATATAAAAATTAGCTCACAATGCAAATGAACACTAGTACCAACCAAGGGTTTTAATACTTGAGAATTTGGAAGAGTTTAAATCACTTTTGCATACCATTCAGTGAACATATTGTGTGTCTTGGTGTATTTGATCAGTACTACTTGACAGAGCAATCAGTCTAGCCACAGTGGTAATGCTGGCTTTGCAAATAATATGGGAAAGGGCCAGGTGCCAGTAGTCTCAAGGTGATAGTGGTTTGTAAAAGTATTTGTAAACTCAGTACTGTACCCAATATTTTGCTGTAAATCAGTAAAATCTCCAATAAGCTTTTGTAAATGTAATTTTAAAATTTAATTTTCAATTAGAATGCAATTGTCATTAAACGGATTATACATGGTGATCCTGGAATAAAGGTCCTTGTTCAGGTACTTCCTGTGAACGGGTAACAAAAATGCAGGATTAAAAAGGAGAAAATTACAAGTGGCTGTTTTAACACAAATTGTACTGCATGGTCTTCCTGCTGTTCGTTGCTGCCTGCACACTTCTAGTGCTCGCACTCTACATTAATGGAACTGAATTTGTCACTACCATGGACTTCTGCGGGGATCCCTACTTCATTGCATACAATAGAGCTGGGTCCAGAAGCATGCAGACATCAAGTGACAAACAGGGAGAGAAGATATTTTGCAGCAGTGCAAACAATTACATGTATCTCCTCAAAAGCTGCTAATTCAGGCTTTCTGGAGCTCTCCTTTTAATGCAGTTTTTTAGATGAAAAATTATTTTTTGTGAATTAAAAAATCTCCGTATGAAGTAGAGCAGCAAATCATGGAGACACTGGGAGCTGGAATCAGAGCTAAGGTCCTTCATTTAGTTAAAAAAATGATCAAGATGCTTGACAATAAACAGAATGGAAAAATGCTGCACTGCGTTCTGGAATAAAAAAAATCTCTTATGGCTAATTCTATATAATTCTTAGGCAGTCTGCTGTAGAGAAAGTCACCTACGTTGCTGACCACTGGACTGGCCTTATAGATAAGTGTAGGTATTTCATAAGTTATCACATGTCCTAATAAATTACAGAGCACCCATCAGTTGTTTAAAAACCAGAGAGACCAATTTAAAGACAATTCTAACCAAAGTATTTTTTATTTTGTGCCTTTAGGAATCTAAGTTAAATGATGATTTAAGTTAACATTTTATTATTAACACTTTACTATTATATAGTTAACAATTTACTATTGTTTTAGGACTGGGAATTCCCACACTTCATGGGGGATGTTGATGTCAATCTTCCCGGTTTATCTACGTCACACATGCAGTTCAAACTACCGCAATTTCAAAGGATTTTTAAAGAAGAATATCACATACATATAACAGGTATACTTACATGTTACATTAATGTGCAGTAAATGTCTGCAATGACTTGATAATTATTGACTATATAATTAATATGCTTTAGTTAATCTTGTCTTGGTGGACAACACCCAGCCTTTAAAAAAATGACAACTGATACCCGTTATGTCAACCAGGTAAATATATCATACTAGGTTTCACAATCGTGAAATACTTGTCCATGAAGGTTAAGCAACAATTAACATTTTCAAAATTAGTGCGCACAAAAGGTTTATTACTAATTTTCCTTCATTGGCCAGCTTGTTTGATCGAATATCATTTGAAATTAGTGTCTCCAAGATGATTGCACCATATTGACATCTCATCTGTCATCGAAACAGAACAAAATTACAGGTATCAAGAGATGCTCTTCTAATGCAAAAGACTACTACAAGCTCACAGCTAATTAATAATGTCTCACTTAGCACATTTTTACTGTTGGCTGAGTATTTGGATTATAGTATACACAAGTATGTAAATTCTTGCTTTCATATCTGAACCTAGTGACTATGCAATACCCAAAATTACATATTTAGATATAAATTACTTGGAGTTTAGAGATTTTTTTTATCAAAGCCATTATTAAATACTAAACTGAGTCTGAGTGGGCTTATTTCCTGCTAACATTAAAATACCGGGAAAACACCTTACAGACTTTGTTAGATATTAACATAGTAAGTGTTTTTGTGTCTAATGACATTGGACATGTACATAAGCTAATCATCCCATAGGTGTCCATTTCTGCTGAGCACATCTCAATATACCAAAACATTTTGCCAGTCTTTGTTGTTGGTGTTTGTCTTCAATGAGCAGGAGTAACTAAATATTTTAAAGAATTAAACTTCATGGATGTATGTGACTAATAGGAAATGCTTGATTATATATTTAGGTTTTTAAATTACTGCCTTGTTTTGCATTTGAAAGTCACACTTTATATTTCCCTTGCTTGCAGGTAAATGGTTTAACTATGGCATTATCTTTCTTGTGCTAATCCTTGATCTCAACATGTGGAAGAACCAAATATTTTACAAGCCATCACCATATGGCCAGTATATAGGCCCAGGTCAGAAGATCTATACAGTTGAAGATGCTGAAAGTTTGCAATATCTTAACCAGACAATGCTATCTTGGGAGTGGAGGTCAAACAACACAGACCCTTATACCAACAGAAGCTATGTTGAAGGTGACATGTTCCTTCATAGTAGGTATATTGGGGCAAGTCTTGATGTGAAATGTTTGGCTTTTATTCCAAGCCTTTTGGCCTTTGTGTTGTTTGGATTCTTTATTTCATTCTTTGGGCGCTTTCATAAGAGTGAACAAGGCATGGAGAATAAAGATAAATCATACAAACGCATCAACAAGAAGTCCCCTTCTGAACACAGCAAGGAAATGGGAATGACCATAGAAAATTTGCAAGCTGTCGTTGAGGAACCCTTATGTCTACATCATCCAACAATGGTAGATGGAAGAACAAAGGAAGATGAAGTGTTGTGCTACCCTTCTTCTACACCAGAGTTAGACAACCCTTCTTCATTGTCACGATCTGAGCCAGTGGCAGACATCGTCCCCTTTGATGATGCTATTAGTTAACCATGTTTTGAATGGACATGACAGTAATGTATACTTATGGGCTCCGATACCTCTTGTGCTCATGTAAATAAGTTTAACTGGTGCTCAAAAATGTACAATCTACACATGTTTGTATTTTGCTATGTGCCTATATTTAACATTCCTTAGTATGTAGGTGCGCACCTGATAGTTGCACAGAAATGTAGAAGTTTAGGGTTATTTAATAAATAGGTGTAACACTAACCATGCTTTGTAACAATGAAACATCACATAATTAGAACACACAATAGTCAAGTTTATTTGACCATGAATGGGGTTTTAAATTAATGAAAGGTGCAAGGTGTTGCTGTAATCTTGGTGTGGTTTTCTGGAGTAGATCAGAGTTTGGTAAGTGGAGTTTATCACAACTAGGTTGATGCTTCCTCAAGTCTGGACCTGTGAACCTCTGTAATTAAAGTAGACCTTTACCCATATCTTTAAAATAACAACAAACACACCTTTAGAAATGTTTAGTAATGTCAATCTACAAACACACACTTCTAGATAATTGCTGGCTTTGTATTCTTTGCATACCTTGTTTCCCTTTTCTTTCCCAGCCTTCTCACAGTGGCCATTTTTACTAAGGGAAGATTGATCCATCTCTCTTTACTTCCCGGAACTCTGGCACATGTGACCATGACATGTGACCATGCACATCATCTCAGGAAGGAAAATGCCTTTCCCTGAGAGCTAGATTACAAAAGAGATTTCCCAGCAATGCTCTGCTGCTGTAACCTTCCCAAGATGCAATGCTTTGGCACTTGCATAATTTTGCCAGAACTGGACCAGGAAGTAGATGAACTCTATTTGTAATGAATGTAGTATGATTTTATATCAGCATGCAGAGCTGCATCCTGCTGTGATTTTTAGTGAAAGGGGGTAAAGGTCCACTTTAAGTGGTATATCAATTTAGTGCATACACATGACCTCCATTCTTCTTAGCCTTACAGCTATTTTGGCAAACATGTTCCATTCACCTTTTGGACCCCAGTGCAGCTGCATGTCCTGTAGTTTTAAAGCTGGACTTATGTGGATAAATCCTATTCAGAGCACATAGAGTGGAGAGCTTAGTGACTACAGAACATACTGCTGGAAACTGGGAAAGGTCTGGTATTTTCATCTGAGAGGCTACAGAAACAACTACAAATGTTTATAGCAACATACTTAGGGTTGCCACCTCTTGATGTGTCTCCTGCCATTCTCAGTCACTCACCCATACATTTTATGCTGCCAATGACACTAGTTGCTCCACTGTTTTATAATAACTCACTCATTCCATACACAGATGCCTTTTCTGTTTAGTCATGTAAGTTTTGTGCCCTCCCCATTTCCTATTTTCCATTTTGGAATCTACAAGCCTGTCCCAATTGTTTTATGTAAAACGTTAAGTGTAGAGATTTCTGGATGTATCTATTCTCTCCCCATATCCAGCATTGGTCTCTATTGATCACCAATTGCTAATAAGTTCAGATCTGCAATGGTCACATTCTGCATCTCCAGAACCAAACACTCAACCACTAGAGGCTTATTTCAGTAAAACGAGCTCTGCTACAAGAAAATGGCAGCTGCTTTTAGGTTTATTCAGATAACTGGACAAAAATACAGGACAACAGAAAACAGACTAAAAGGTCAAATATGAGACCGGGTAAGTTCACCTAAGAAAAAATGTCATTACTTCACCCTATATAACAGTCACCTGAAGCCAAGCCTTTATGGTTCACAACATTCTGCACCTTTGCACACAGTTTATTAACTGACCCTTACGCTGTATAATTATGTACACAGGTAAAGAAAATAGTTGACTTTTGACTTATACTAGATTTGTGCCTTGATTGTATAATATTTTTATAAGCAACATTTCGAGATATATTTTTAGTTTTTAATTTATTTTTAAAATATTTTTGTTATGTGTTTCATTTTTTTTTTTTTTACTGTCAACCTAATATTTTAACCTAGTTGTGGCTTTCTCAGTGGTGGATCCTAGCTTTAAGTCATTATTGATTCAGGATTGTAAGTGTACGATGGATTTGTAATAAACAGTGACATATAGTTTATGTAATGTACACAGTTTCCTGCATGGACCTCAAGTGTAAATATGTGCAGATATTCTACAAATTTCAAAGACACAAACACTGTGTAAACATTGTATGTGTGCCATATAGGCAAGAATTGTAATGAATGTTTAAAGTAAAGAAGCAATAGCACAGTGGAACTCCAAACAAAACATTTTTGTTTCTTTGTTTTGGAAAGAGTAAGGAAGGCTTAGAACCTCTGTCAGGTTTTTACTACCATTGGGAAGGCTTTCCCTCACTTCCTGTCCCAGTAAAAGTTGCCACTGAGTCAATAAGAGAAGGAATATTGCTCCAACAGGGACTCATACAGCAATATATAAACCTTTTTCATAGAGTGTGGAATAATTAGAAACTCTGTTTGGCAGTGGTTACTGAGACACAAAGAGAAGAGGTGACATTCCCCCAACAGACAGCAATCAAAACCTCAAAGAGTTCCTAACACTTTCCTGCTCTATCCAAAACTAAAAAATAAATAGCTTATTTTCACTGGAGTTATATTTTATAGCAAATGTAGAGAGCAAGCATTAGGCGCTATCAAAAATGTTAAACATCACAGTTAAAAATATTATAGTAGATGGTAAAAGTGCTAATATATGTTGCCTTGTCTAGTGAGCCAAGTGGTTCCCAGCTTTTTTTGGTGTTGAGATGCAACAGCTAATAAGCCAGCCATCCCTTTTTTTCTCAACATGTCTTCATGGTATTTCATAAAATAAAATAACAAAATCATAATATGTTTCTGATTTGACTTATTGCTGTAAATCTGTGTGCTTGGTGTCCTGATTGAGAAATAGTGAGTGAAAATTCACCATTCAATAATATAGCTTCTGTAAATTGTACCTGTACCTATTTACATTTTCAATGGTTCATAATATATCTACTAGCAGATAACAGGTGCAAATGGTCAAGTGGTCTTTACATATATAATACAAGATAAATAATGTCTTTGTTTTGAATACAAAAAAAGTGAAAATAAGTTGGGGAAAATGCAAAATCAAAGGTTTATACCATATGGAGGGTAGCTTTTTTATTCAGTTTGCTGCAACTAAAATTCACATATAAAACCAGAGAGTAAAATAGCCCAAATCAGCCATATTACCATAGCATGTAACAAATGGTAAAATTGTAATGTCATCCTGTGTAGCTCCATCCATGTACTTATTGGTCTGAATTAGCTACCTTCAAGGAGGAGCTTGCACTATGGCTGTGCATTTGAATATATGGATTCCTCTGACTGAAACTACAGAGTGATAAAATCGATAGCTTCTGTTAAGCAAGTAAAGATATCCAACTGCTAAAATTCTGAAACAAGTACACACATTGAAGATGCAAATAAAGACTAACTGCTCATTTTTAATTTTTCACCAAGGCATTGCTCTAGAGCACCTGTCCAACCCACTCTTTTTGTTGTCAATGACTTAATTTTATTTATTTTATTACTGTTTTTTTTGCCTGGTATTCTCACTGCAGGAGTTGTGTTAGGAAACACACTCTCGGTAAGTCCATTACTGGGTCTGTCTGTACTCAGTACTTGCCACAAGTCGTCTTTGCTTAGCAGCATTTCAAGCGTCAACTTCCATAGCTGCTAGCTGCTATTGTTGACCTTTGCAATTGCAAACTTCATATCTGAACTACTTGCCATCTTTCAGTAGCTTGGATGCGGCTCTGGTTGACTTGCAGTATTCTGTTTGGTGCCTGGGCCCATAACCTGTTGGTTATGTGTTTAGATGAAGCATTGAGGTCTTGAGGAATGATGAATTCGTTTTACTTGCTTATAAGAACATTGCATACATGTATACAGGATTACAGTATCACACAGGAAACAGCATTATAACATAGATAAATATGCATAAGCAATAGAGACTAATATTGCACTACATCACCATCTAGTGCTCAAAAGATATAGTTACAGTCAGCAACACAATCCGCAATGCTGTTGTATCTCCAAAAGTCATCACCAGCCCTTTCTTGTGTTATATAAGGACAAGGTTGTTTTAAGGTACAGGACCTCTTTTCTCCTGAAGGCGTTTTTTTACTTTCACCTTAAGCAGGATATTGTTCTACCATGTTTGTTTTCCTTGTAAGCATCCTAAAGAGATTTCCCTCCATTGTCTGGAAGTGGTACACACTGTTTGAGTTTATCTCTCAGCCACAGCTCCATTTTGTGAGTCTCTGTTTGTCATTCCTAACGTTTCCCATAGCTGACAGGCTGCTTCTCATCCCACTATGGCTAGGGGGAGTTGCTTGGTTTTGGATGTCCTAGTGTTCCAGATTACCATCCTGTTTCCCGTAATGTAAGACTAAGAAACGGGATTTCTGTCTTACCTGTAAAATAACTTTTCTTGGAGTACATTATAAGATAGAGGTCCCTCCTCCCTGTTCTTTTGATCCACTTGTTGCTTATTACAAAACCAAGGCATGCTGGGAGCAGAAGGAGTTATATTGGTCTGTACTTTCAGCTTTGCTTTGTCAGTGTCCAATCTTCTGAAGGTGGCACTTTAGCCAAATGTTCCAGATTACTGTCCATTATGACGTAATGTAAATCAAAAAAAGGATTTTACAGGTGAACAAAAATCATATTTTTTAGCCAGCTAAATCTTAACTTTTAGAGTGCCTTTATTTATTTGTATCTGCCATATGGAAAATAGACACATTTTGCATTAAAAATAAGCCTTTTTTCTGGCAAGATTGTGACATCTTCTTTTTAGTTTTAAAATGAGCCAGTAATGCCTAAACTTTTGCAGACTACTCTAGGAAGGACTGAAGTGATTGCTTATAGAAATTGCAGTCTTACCTCTCCTTGCCTAGCCATCCTCCCAAATGTGAATAAGATGCATGTGTAGGTCTGTAAATTTTTGCATATATCTGTGTTCTAAAAATAGCTGTCATGTTATTTATTCTGAATAAAAAAAAAAAATACTTCTTTGTTAGACAACAAACCCTTTAAGGCACTTTTCTACAGTCCCCTAGGAACTGAAAGTAAGGTACGAAGCATGACTGTTTAAGAGAAGGCAAAACCGCTACTATTATGTTATATTGCTTTATAATCTATTTCTGGAACAAAATGTTCCGAATGAACTGCAGGTGTTAAGCTGCAGTGACAGCCCTAATTATGTAAAACCTGACATTTTAGAACAAGAAAAAAAACAATGTAAATTTAAGCAGCAGCACCTAACTAATATGAATTAAAATTCAATACATCCCATATTAGCTGTGTATGCCGTGCCATGTTTAGAATACTAAATGTAAAAT